CCTGTGGGGTCTGGTTTATTTTGTCAGCCATATTCCTTCTTTTTGACTATCAGAAACTTCCCGTGTCTAGAGCCCATTACAGGCGAAGTTCAAGCTTCCCTATAATGTGTAACCCCCATGTAAACCAACGGATGCAAATACATACTCCAGAAGAGGAGGGGTGTCCGTGCACACCCCAGATTTAGTGTGTGCAGATGGTTCTTGGCCGTAACTGTCCCAGACTTCTCGCCCCCGACAACACAAAAACTGCCTAGCACACAGTTAATAAACAGCAGCTATTTTTATCAGTTTCCTCACCTGCAAAATAGAGATAATATAAAAATAAGAGCTAACATGTACTAACTACTTATTATGTCCCAGACATTGTTCTAAGTGTCTCACATGTATTGATTCATGTAATATTCATAATGACTGCACAAGATAGATAGCATTTTTGTTCCTAGTTTACAGATGAGGCGCCCAGAGGTTGAGAAACTTGCCCAAGGTTATACAGCTGGAGCCTGCAGTTTTGTTTTTTTTTTAAATATTTTTTATTGATTTATGACAGAGAGAGATAGAGAGGGAATGCAAGTACAGGGGAGCTGGAGAGGGAGAAGCAGGCTCCCCACTGAGCAGGGAGCCCGATATGGGACTCGATCCCAGGACACTGGGATCATGACCTGAGCTGAAGGCAGATACTTAATGACTGAGCCACCCAGGCGCCCCGGAGCCTCAGCGTAGTGTCCACCCTGTCACCTAGGACTGCTGTGAAGATCCCATGATTCTAAGTCTTATGGCCCCATGACAAACACTAGAGACCGCTGCTCAGTGAAGCTGAGGGGGAGGGAGGGACAGGAGTAGGGGTGGCGGGGGAGAGGAGGAGCGGTGCTCTGTTAGCACTAGTGCTAACACTAGTTGGTGGCGGCTGCAGGATTTAGAAGCTCTTTGCAGAAATCCGGTTGCATTTCTGGAAGGGAAGAATGGAGAGTCATTATTTTGTCTGGACAGGTCTGGAGTGGGGAGGGAACTTGGTCAAGGTGAAGAGCTAGGTTGGCTTTTCAACTGTCCTCTTCTATCTCCTCCCCTCTTTCTCTCAGTCACCCTGGGCTCGGGCTGTGGCCTGGGGTTTTCCAGCAAGGCTGCCTTAGCTGCTCCTCCAGAGCACCGGGTGTGGGGCTACTCGTGGAACAGGGCTGGGGGGAAGGGGCTGTCAACCTGCTAAGCACTAGCTTTCAGGAAGGCCCGGGTCACTCACACAGAAAGGAGGACATCCGACCAGCAACAGGACGCCAGCCTGGGGAGCCTGCAAAGTCCTCTTCAGGACACCTCTTCCCCACATGGCCCTCCATCCCCGGGCCCAGGAAACATATGGGCCACAGGAGCCCGATCCTGCGGCGTTGGCCTAGAGCCCAGAGCTCCGGGGCAGCTCCAGAATTTCTGTGTAGGAGGAGCTCAAACTTTGCCATCTCACCGGAAGGGAGGTGAGGGGACTGGTTTTAGCTGGAGATGATTTTCTGGGAGATGCTGATACAGGTCAGGAAGGAGGCTACCTTGCTGCCCTGTGCTAGGTTCTGCCAGTGCCTTCTGCCAAGCTCCAAGCGGGGTTGGGTTGTGCCAGCCGCTGAAGCCAGCGCAGGGTCAGAGCAGAGAAGCCATGTTGGGCTGAAAGGCAAAGCCTGGGTGGGGAGGAAGGAGCCACGGCAGATGCTGACTACTTGGTCCTGGAAGCCTGGGGAGGGCAAGGAGAGCAGATTCACTGAGCACCCCATGGAGAAGCTTAGAAGCAGAGGAATATGGGCCATTCCTTTCTTCCTTCAACCCTCATTCATTTGTATTTCTTTACAACCTTTATTTCTCTAACATGGATATGTGAGGAATGGCACTGTTAGTCTCTCTACATTAATTACCCCTTGTAATCCTTGAGATAACCCTATTTTATAATTAAAATCCCCACATTGCATGTAAGAGAGCTGAGGCTCAGAGAGGTTATGTAATTTGCCCAAGGTCACACAGCATAGCACACAAGTGGCTGTGCCAGGATTTGAGGACCCTGAAACTTAGAACCACTAAGATTTATTGGGTGCTGACTGCACCAGCTGGATGGGCAGGGTTTCCTTTCCCTCCTGGAGCTTACAGTCTAGTTGGGGGGGGTAGTTTCCAGCAGGAAATGGCAAGGGTGACAAGTGCTACAGATGAGAAGCACTGGGTACACAAGAGAGGTCCCAGGGAATTGAGATTGGCAGGCAGTACGGAAGGGAGTTGGTGTGGTGACGTGGGGCAGAGAGGACAAGTGTCCTCCATCAGAGAACAGCTTGTGCAAAGGCTCTGTGGCAGGGAAGAGCACAGCCCTTTCCAGACCTGCAAGATCAGGGCAGCTGGAGCTCAAAGGGTGAGGGAGTTGGGGGATGGCAGGCCGAGCTGGAGGGTGGGCAGGGGCCACATCTAGAAACATCTACAAGAAGGCGGTAGGAGAGAGCCCCTGGGGAACAGGCCCCAGCTGGAGCTATGCAACTCAGCTCAGAGGGTCAGCATGTGAGGTCACAGGACCCAGCTCCATGCTCTTAACTCCCTACCAAAACAACACAGGCACCTGGGGGAGTCACTCCCCCTTTGAGGGCTCCCTATACCTCAGTGAAGAATTGTCCCTTTTTTGCCTTGCTACCTCCTGGGATTGCTTGAAAGGATCAAGTAAAATCACGGCTATAAGCTGTTGCTACCACTCTATAGTGGACTGTGGTGGGGGTGCCCCTCTGGGGCCCTAGGGGCTCTCAGCGAACCCAAGCTAGCTTTTCTCAAAGGACCACACTGCTCCCCCTTCCCCATCTTGACCCAGCCCCCTGCCTGTGCAAATGTCACCTGATCCTTCCCTACCCTATCAGAATCCCACTCCCCCAGGAGGGGAGAGGCCACAGTGGAGGAGGCTTATACATTGAACACAGGGATTTTCATGAGCAGACACAGTCCTATATAAATGCTTTATTTTCTGTCATTAGACCCAATTTAACTGGCAGAAGCTTTGATAAGACTCAGGTATCTTTTCCTCCATTTTACCAGAAAGAGCCAGGGGGTTCCTGTCCTCCATCCCCCAGCATCCACGCAGCAGTCCGTTGCAGTCATCAAGGCATCCGCTGTCCCAGTGTCTCAGGACATCCCAGTCTGTGCCCCATCCAGGCCGCTGAACTTTCAGCCCTTTTATCCCTCCTCCTGGCAAAAAAGCCTTTGGTGGATCTCAAAAGAGAAGCGTTTCTTCCTCTAGAAAAGCAGCAGCCAAGTGACAAGCCCCCTGCAGTGTGGGAGGCCGGCAGCCCTGTGGTCCTCAGTGTGGTGCTGTGGGGGAGAATCCCTAGTGTCCTCCCTGCGGAGCATCTGACCTTGAAGCTTTGATGGTTGATCCCCTTTTCCATCCGAAGGATGGTGAGGGGTCAGCAGAGCTGACCAAAGAGTTCTCGTCGGGCCACGTCCCCTAGCCCACACCTAAACACACACACAGCCGCGCACACACACCCCCTTCCCAACAGCGATGTGCGGCCCCACATCGGTGGGTGGCACACGCTCCCCCACCCTATCACAGCCTGGAAATCCCCGAATCAGCTATTTCTGCAGCCCAGGGGCCGTGACTAGCGAGCTGCTGTTCTAAAGAGAGGCTCCAGCCCAGCCAGAAGCGGCGGGTGTCGCAGTATTGCAGTGGCCAGGCTCTGGGGTGATGTTGTCAGGGGGCTGGGCCAGGGAGAGGGGATTCGCTGCAGGTATGGGGAATTCCCAGGGTTCCTCACACTCTGTGGAGATAAGAAGCCCTGGAAAGCTCTGAGGGACGCCCTCCCCAACACATACACATATGGGAATTTTTTTTGGGGGGGGGGCGGTGCGTGACGGGAGAATCACCTCCTGAGTCAAACCCCAAACTTGATTCTTGAGTCTGGATCTGAAGTGCAGGAGCAAACGGGAGGAAGCTGAGGGGGAGGGGAAGCCGTGGGGAAGAGGGCAGGGGTGGGGTGGGGGGGGGGCTGGGAAGGTCCAGGGATGGGTGGTGGCACCACACCAGCACAAACTGGACGGGGTGAGCTGGAGCCCTGAGGGCGGAGGCACGAGGGTAAGGCCCAGGCAAAGGAGCCCGACCCGGTTCGCAGCCCTCCCCTCCCCTTCCTGCCCTGAGAGTCGGGGCAACTCCTGGTCCTCTCCGTGCTCTGGGAGGGTTGAGGCCTGGCGTCCCCCAAGAGGGAGAAAGAGGAGTTGTGGCAAGCGGGGAGTCTGGGTTCCTCCGGCCGGAGCCCTTTCGGTGGGTTCCTACCTGGGGGCCAGGCCCAGGTCCCGGGCAGGGCACACTTCCCCCTCGGTCCCCAGGGTCCCCTCCACCCGCTTCCTCCCCTTCCCGAGAGACGGGAGGAGAGCCCCGGGTGCCCGTCCCTACTTAACCCTCCCGCCCTGAAGCGGGGGCCTGCGCCCCGTCCGAGCTCTCCGGGCCAGACACCCCCACCGCCCCTTCTCCTCTGCTCTCTGCCTTTTGTCTCCATCACTCCCCTTCTCCCTCCCTTTTCTTTCCGTTCCCGACTCAGGAAAACCTTCATCCGTATCCCCTGAAGCAAATCGGCTCCCTCCTACCCGCTAGTCTGTTCCCGACCGCGCAGCGATCCCCCTCCCCGCGCCCCTCCCCCAGCCAGTCCCCGCTCCCGAGAGGCTCGTAAAGCTCGTGGGTGGCGCGGGTGGGGTGGGGAGTGTCGCAGGAGGGCACGGGGCGGGAGGGAACTCCTCCGCATTGCCCCGCGGGGCTTCGGGGACCCGAGGCCGGCCCCACCCACCGCAAACTTCTCTAGGGGCGCGCCGGGTCGAACCCCTTTCCCCCACGCCGCCTCTCCCTCGCACACACCTCCCCTTCCCTGTCGCCCCTCCCTCCCCGCCCACCGGCGGTCGGGACCCGAGCAGGGGGGCGCGGGGCGTGCGGGGGCGGCCTCCCCCGAGCCGGGATTGCTGAGGTGGGGGCCCTGCGCCGCGGTTTGCGGGGATCGCCCTCGGAGGGGCCGGCACGCGCCGTGTGCAGGCGGATGTGAGGAGCATCTCAATTGGCGGGCGGGGGGAGCGGGATCGGGCTGTTACTACTGCAGAGAGAGAGAGAGCGCGGGCGAGCCGGCGAGCCGGGAGCCGGCGGGCGGGAGGAGAGCCGCAGCGGCCCGGCCCGCCGCGAAGTGGAAAGAGGGGACCGCGACTTCGAGACCCCGGCAGTCCCCGCGCTCTGGCCTCTGGGCGAGCTCACGCCGCACCGCGCACGGACGTCCCCGGTAAGAGCCGCCCCGGGCGGGGACACCCTGCGAGGGCAACGCGTGGTCCCGAGCGCAGCAGCGCGCCGACCATCCGCGGCCACCCGGAGGGCCTGGGGCGCGGGGCGGATGGATGCAGGGTCGCCAATCCGGGACGCTCCGACTTTTTCTGGGCTCGGCGCTCACAGCCGGATAAACTAAGTGCGGGACGGAGCCCGCGGTGGGGGCAGTGGGCTTCGGAAATCCACTTGCTTCCGAACCACCGGGGGTGGGGGGGTGGTCCCGTGGGAAGCGTCCTGAATTATGCCGGGAACCCCTCGCCATTGCCCTGCTTCTCCTCGCGAGTAGCGCGGGACGCGCGCGGGGAGAAGGCGAGAGAGGCCGCGGCGCGGGCACCCGGGGCTAGCGGGGCACGGCAGGAGGCGGTGCGGGGGAGGCCGATGGAGTGGGTGTACTGTGAAAAGTGGGTGCGGGGCACGTGGGGCCCCCCGCCGCCCCCGCCGCAGTGAGGCTGAGCAAAGAGCCCCGCGCGCGGAGCTCGGGAGCCCCCTGGCGCAGAGCGGGACGCGCTGTGGACACTGGCGGTGCGCGGAGCTCTATTCCCTTCCGCGCTCCCAGCGCTGCCGCAGCGCTCTGGGGCTGGAATGGACCGCGGCATCTTCGCCCCTTCCTCTCCTCGAAACTTTTTCATACTCCCAACAAGCGCGGCGGCTCCGTTTGTTGGAGGAAGCCGGGTCCTAAGGATTCTGGCAAGCGGCAGAGCTTGGAGAGACGGGTGGGGGTTGGGGAAGGGGCAACAGCGCAGGAGGAGGGCGTGCTCTATTCAGTTTGCTGTGTGACCTTGGACAAGTTGTTGCACCTCTCTGAACTTCACGAAGATGGAGACACTTGGTGCTCCAGTCAGGAATGGGGACAAGGTGGGGAACAGGGTGGTCAGGGGAACCAGCCTCCGGGATGCCTGTCCCTTGCTTTGGAGCCTAGGAACTCACGCCCTTGATCCAAGGCCTCTCTGCGGGGAGCTCCGGGCTCACTTCCTGGGGAGGAGATGGCAGTGTGGAACTGTGTACCCAGCGTTCCAGGGGAAGTCAGGAAGCTTCCATTCTGACCCAGCCTGTGACCTTGGACAACTCACTTAGTCCTCTGAACCTCAGTCTGGTAATCTGCAGAATGGGGTTTTGGAGCTTCTGGATCTGAAGTCTCCCCGTTCTGACACCTGCAGGCCCCAGCATGCAGGGGAGGCCATTGGAAGGAATGGATGGGGTGCAGCCGCAGGAGCTGCCTTTCTGCTGTGACCTAGCCTCTGGGGAAGCTGTGGGTCCCCGCCCCCTAAGAAAGTCATCAGGGCCTTGAGACCCTCTGCCTGCTCATCCATCATTTCTTCCCACTCGAGAATTTCCAGTCCGCCTGTGAGATTATCCGGCTTCGTAGCGCCATACGTCCTTGCAGGGCGCAGAGCTTCCCTGGGAAGAGATTCCCAGGGACAGATAGGAGTCCCCTGGGCAAAAGGGGGGACGTCAAGGACCCCCCAAGGTCATGCTGTCTGGCCCCTGGCTCTGGACAGGGCTGCATCCACCTCAGACAAGGGTGATCTGAAGGAATTATGTTTAGAAAGATCCTGTCTCTGATTAGAGAGCTCTCCACTACCGTAGCCCCCAGCACTCCACTGGGCAGCCTCGAAGCCTCTGCCATAGGAAAACCTCGTCTCACTCCTTCCCCGGTGAACTCTGGTTTTGTCTGCAGGTGGGATGGGACCTTAGCTTCTCCCTGGGCCTCAGGGTGTCATGGGGGAGAGTCCTGGCTTAAGACAGGAGGCAAGAGTTTCATTCCAGGCCCTGCCTCCAATTTGTGTAACCTTGTGTGACCTTGGGCAAGCCCCTTCCTTGTTCTCCTCACCTGTCCAAGGAGAGGCTTGAACTGAATCACTTCCCCCAGCCCTTCCCACCTTGTGGTTCTGTGGCTGGAGTTCTGAACTGGTGTCTGAGTAGCCAGCAGGGGGCTTGGCTGGGTGATGGGGGCAGGTGGTGCTCCCCAGCCTCAGCCTCACACATGCTTCTGTCCCCAGTGCTTCTGTCCCCAGCGCAGAGACCACCAGAGCCTCAACTACCTATATGGAGGGACCCCTTTTAAGGCCTTGCACGCCAAGGAGTGAATCCTTGGGAGACCCTGGGCTCTACTGGTTGTTAGCTGAGTGACCTTGAGCGAGATACAGGATTTTACATCTTTGAGTTTCAGTTACTCGGTTGAAATGAAAATAGTCGTGGTATTTTAGGATTGTTGTGAGGATTAAACAAGAAATGCTCAAAAAATGCTTCATCCAGTGCTGAGCCCTCTGTGTCCTCAGTGAGTGGTAGCTGCTAGTCATGGTACCCAGAAAGCCTGCTGGAGCCGGTGTGCCTCCCTGTGGAGGGGGCCCTGGGATCTCCTCTGGGCTTCCAGAGCTTCCCTATGGGACGGCTGCCTCTCTCCCTCCCTCTCTCCCTCCCTCTCTCCCCCCCTCTCTCCCCATCCCTCTTTCTCCCTCCCTCTTTCCCCCTCCCTCCTCTTCTCCTTCCTTGTCTCCCTCTTTCCCTCCCTCTCTCCCCCTCCCTCTTTCCCCTTCTCCCTCTCTCTTTCCCCCTCTCCCCCCTCCTCTCTCATCATTAACATCATTCTGCAGCAGAAACTTCATGTGAAAGAAAAAAAACTGCTTGACTTTCCTATAACCTCATACCTGTTTGCCTCTAGCTCTCCCTTCCCCACTGTCTGCCACACCTCTGGTCCCTTCCATCCATGGTGAGGACACATGAGGGTTTGATTCTACTTCCTGAACTTTCCAGGAATGAGCCCCCCCCCCACAAGCCTAGGGAGGGCTGAGACTGGATCCTCAAGGGCAAGGAGCCAGAGGCATGTCTGGGCTGGGTGGAAGGGCTGGCAAAGGTCCTGGCTCAGCCCTGGGGGAACTCTCAGGATCCCAGACCCCAGAGCCAGACCGGATGGGGTGCACTGGTGGGCTGGGAGGAGGGGTGGCAGGACCAGCTCTTGGGGTGACTTTAGGCAAGTGCCATCCACAGTCCTCTGATTCTTCATCTGCAAAGTGAAAGGTTGCTTGAGATGAATCCAAGGTCCTTCCAACCCTTTGGGTTCAGGGCCTGGTTGGCACTGCCCTCGCTGAGGCTCAGTGGGTTGGATGGGAGGTTTGTGGGCATGATCTGGGCATCAAGACTTCCTGCCCCTTGATCACAATTCAAGGACAGCCTGGGGAGAGGGGATGCCGTCTTTCTCTTAGTAAGAATGCTGAGGGTTAAGAGCAAAGGCTTTGCACGTAGGCAGACCTGGGTTCTCATCTTGGCTCTCTCTTCTTATGAATTGTGTGAAGTTGGGCAAATTATGTAAGCTCTCTGAGCCTCAGCTATCTCATCTGTGAATTGGGAAGAAAATTACCTATCGCCTAGGGTTCTTATGAAGATTACATGAGAATAACTTCTATAAAATTCTTCCCAGGACCATGAGTATGGGCATTTCTAGGTGGGGACTGGGTGCTGCATAAGCAATGAGTTTTTGAGGCTCTGTGTTGTCACTAAGGGGGGCTTGGGTTAAAGGAAGGGTGGGGACAGAGCCCACAGCGGTGCAGTTGTCACCAGGCACAGGCTTCTGAGACCGGTTCCCTCTGTGCCCTGGCTTGGGCTTCAGGAGTCTGGATGCATTGGTCCTTGTCCCAGGGCCCGTGGAGGGGTGAGCTCAGCCACAGGGGGCTGCAGGCAGAGTGTGAGACTGTCAGAGAGAGCATGGAGGTTAACAAAACGCGCCCCGTGCTGGGGCTCAGGGAGTACAAGCTGGAGGCGCCACAGCCTTCCACTCAAGGTTAGTCGCGAGGAAAAGGCTGTAAAATGAGGTCTTGGGGAAAAGGCATCTCTGCTCCTGGGGATGGGTTAGGTGAACGGGACCACAGCACGAGGCACTGGAAGAGGCCGTGCGGTTCATCTTATCCAGTCTGACTTTGATTATGGGCAAACTGAGACTCAGGGAGGGGGAGCCCCTTGCCCAGGACCACACGACCTGTTGGTGCCAGGGGTGGCACTGAGTCAGCATCTGGGGGCCCTCGTGCAGTGCTCTTTGCACTCTCCCCAGTAAGTACCAAGCAGGTATTTTCCAGATCTTCTAAAATCAGAGAGCACAAGGCATTATGCCTTGATGGCCACGGAGAGGACAGGGGTCATGGGTGGGAAAGCACCTCCAACCCAATCCTGAGAGCATCTAGTCTGACATTCCCATTTTGCAGATGAGAACACTGAGGTCCCAGAAAAATGACAAGACTAGCAAAAGGTTGCCCCATGTCTGAGACTGTAATTCCCGGGCCAGAGCTCTGGTCGTTTGCCAGATGTCGTAGGCTGTCTCTCCTGGGTCAGACACGCTACGTGGCCGCAGGACAGCCAGAAGGTGAGAAAATAAAACCCAGTGTGCTTGAGAAAGGGACAGAGGACAGAAAGACAAAGCAGAAGAAAGAAAGACAGAAATATTACTCCCATGACCATGATATTCCTTCCAGGCTTTCTTTCTTGACGCGTCTCTGTCGGCCCCTGCTCGGAGCTCTTCTGCTGACAGCCTGCCTTGCCCTCGCCGAGGAAGGAGACAAAAGCCAGCCCCGCTGGTCTCAGTTCCACTGGCAATGCTGAGTGAAAGAAAGTCAATATTTGCCCAGTGGCAAAGGACGGGAAATAAGTCTGACTTGGGATTGAGGTTTGGTGGGGAGGAGAGGGATTCTGAAAAGGAAGGTTGCCGAGTGTAGGGCCTCCCGTGTGAGTTCTTGACTTCTAAAGGAGCCTTTGGGTTTACCGCATTAAATAACCCTTTGTGTCTCGGACAGCATCTGCCTGCTCCATCCTCCTGGCAGCCCTGATCCCTAATAAATTTCCCTTATTGTTTGGAGCCGATGCCTCCCCCAGCTTCCAGCTCCCTGGAGAAATGGGACTTTGAAAGCTTTTACAGAAAGGCCTCGGAGCAGATGCCCATTGAGCGAAGCTCAGGCAGAGCCATACAGAAGC